ATTCTATAACTATTGCAGTTCTTGACGTTCTGAATTCACATTTATTTATTGAAATGACGAAAGAAATGTTGACTACATTTTAATTTGTAATGAATTGAAGACAGAAAAAATTATTTTACCGTAATATACACATCTGTAACAGCAAGTGATCATGAAATTGTAAGTTATGTTGTTGGTAATAGAAAGGTACAAATTATTGAGAAATTGTTCTTCAAATGCTTGGCGTGTTCTGCTTCAATGTTTGGCATGTTCTGGTTAGTTTTTTCAAGTTCTTCAGCTGTTCCTTAGGGAAATTTTTATTTTTATTTGCTGCTAAGAAAATGGCGTCCGTCATGGCCGATGATTTTGATGGAACTAAATGAAAACGTGATAAATTAATGTCTGATATTTACAGGCTCCCGATAGAGGGCGTACTCGAGCGTTGCGATCGCGAATAGCAAATTATTATAAACTTAATCATTTAGTTATGTTCAGCAATTTTCGCTATGTTCATATAATCAAACGTAAGGAAAACAATATAAATTTCTTTTAGAAATATAAACATTTTTTTCTAAGTCACAGGTAACACTGATAGCATCATTCGAGATTTGTTTGAAAAATTACTTTGCAATAACAGCACTTAGAAAAGGCACTTTGTGCGTTTCTGCATCATTTAAAACGATAATATTGAGAGTTTTTATTTTTGCTTGTGACAGTTTGTTCCATTTGTTTTTAAACTAGCCCTCCCCTCTGAAATTCAACTTTAATTTGTATTTTAAATTGCTGCACAACAAATATAAGATTTAGAAGCTTGAATGTACGAAAGAATGTGTAAAAATTTGACGAGAATTCAATTGAATTAAAAAATTAAAATCTGATAATTCAGACCCTGAATAATTTGTTTAACTATTAACTGTTAAACGCGTGGTAAAAAAACCAAGTTGAGAGCTCTGCAGTCCGCTGATATGCAACTAACACAGTTTAAATTTGCCGTGTTTAAAAAAGCATTTTTTTATGAACTCAGCTCGAGATTTTCTCACAACTCTTATTTGGTGGTTGAAAGTTATTAAAATGTTAAATGCTTTTTTCTCACAATTTTCCTTAAAATAATGATTTAATATCTTTTTTTTCTAAGAAAATTTCTCGTCTCTCTCGAGAACTTTATTTTATAAGATCATATTTAATTTGATGTTTATAAAAAGATTCAATTCAAGAGAGATAAAAATACATTTTTTTCGAACGTTTCGTTAACGAAACGTACGTTTCGTTAACGAAAATACGTTTCGTTAACGAAAAAAATTACTTTCCAGTAATTTCTTCTTTTATAAATCTTAGGAAACCTTTGTATTCCAAAGTTTAAATATATTTCAAGTACGGTTGAATATTTTTCAAATCCAGAAGATTGTTCATTTTATTACGATTATTAACAAAATGTAGTTCCATAAGATTATAATAACGCTACACTTTATTAGTAATATGTTCTTTATTTTTGAGGAAATTATTAACTTTTAAGGGAAAAAAAAGAATAGAAGTTTAACCATCTTTTTCAGACTCACTCTGTATACACGCCGTGGTCGTAAAATGCTTGAGTAATTTCAGTAAAATTATGATTTTTTTTTAAACCTCGCATGGCCTGTGTAAAATAATTACTTTAATTTCTCATTATCGTACTCAGGCTTAAACAAATTTGAAAATAATAATTTTGCAATTAATTTTGANAAAAAGATTCAATTCAAGAGAGATAAAAATAAATTTTTTTCGAACTGCTATAATACGTTTCGTTTACGAAAAAAATTACTTTCCGGTAATTTCTTCTTTTATAAATCTTAAGAAACCTTTGTATTCCAAAGTTTAAATATATTTCAAGTACGGTTGAATATTTTTCAAATCCAGAAGATTGTTCATTTTATTACGATTATTAACAAAATGTAGTTCCATAAGATTATAATAACGCTACACTTTATTAGTAATATGTTCTTTATTTTTGAGGAAATTATTAACTTTTAAGGGGAAAAAAAAGAATAGAAGTTCAGCCATCTTTTTCAGACTCACTCTGTATACACGCCGTTGTTGTAAAATGCTTGAAACTTTTCAAATTTTTAATAAATTCAAATCAGACTTTTTTTATAATCATTGTCAATTGTTAATATAACGAGTAATTTCGGTAAAATTATGAAATTTTTTTAAACCTCGCATGGCCTGTGTAAAATAATTACTTTAATTTCTCATTATCGTACTCAGGTTTAAACAAATTTGAAAATAATAATTTTGTAATTAATTTTAAATTGCTTCAAAAAGTTGGTTTAATTTTATTGAAGATTTTTAAAGCTATAGTAAAAGGAAAAACGTAAGAAAAAATCTCGTTTTTTTTCCTTTCTTTTTTTTAACATAAAATATCTATATTTCTTTAAATATTTAATCTAGATTTACGAAATTTTATTCAGTTATTTAACCCCTTAACGATCGGTTAATTTTCAAGAAAACGGTCATAAAAGTGTTTTTTTTTTTGGCTTTTGTATTTGTTTTACGTATTTATCTACAATTACCTTAAAAATATCCTGGTACTGCCATCTTGTGTGTAAAATGAGAAATAAAATGTTTTCCGGTCAAAAGAAATGAATTAGTTTTATTCTTATTGGCTCGTTACTATCACGGGTGCGAGAAATAGCGGGCGAAATCTCACCCCGTCATTTTCACGGCAGCGAGAAGGAAGAGGTTAAAATAATAATCAAAGTAATAGATACAAGTTACAAACTTATTGCTTGATTTTCTGGCGTAGCGTGTTCAAAAATATTTGATTTCCTTCGTAATTTATTGTCGGTCCCTTAAAATCTCTGAAAGCTTTCCCTTGTGAAAATTTAAGGTATATTTGAGGTATAGAGGTTGTTTTGAGGTATATGTGAGATATATTTCAAGTTGCTGAGAAAGCAACCATAAAAATTATATTAATTCGTAGAGGTTGTAATTTAGGTGTACGAGGTTGTTTTGCATACACTTCAGCTCATTTTGTGGTTGTTTAAAATTTATTTCAAATCAACTAGGTTGATGAGGTGATTTTCAAGGTATACAGGTTGTTTTTCTGATACTTATAACAAAAAAGGTATGCCCTGCTTAAGTTGTTTCAAGAAAAAAAATCTATTATGATCGTTACATTGCAAAATAAATGAGGTATAAAAATTTTTATCTTATTTCAACTAAAGAGAGTGAGGTCACTTTATTTATACCTAAGCTCATTTTGAGGTTGTTTTAAATTAATTTCTTATCAACTAGACTGATAAGATGATTTCTAAGGCATACCAAGTTATTTTTCTGACACTCGTAAAAAAAGAGACATTTATGAGGTATAAAAAATAACCTTATTTCAACTAAGAAGAGTGAGGTATTTATTGAGGTGTATGAAGTCATTTTATTTATACCTTATTTTGAGGTTGTTTTAAATTCACTTCATATTAACTAGTTCAGTTCCGTGCAAGCCGGCGAATGGCGCTTGTGTTGACAATCGAAAGTCAATGCGAAATTTGGCAAGTGCGTTTGATATTTATTAATTTAGTTTTATCACTTTTAATGAAATGTGCTTCAATTTTCAAACTTAAATTTTATTAATTTTGTTTTAAAGCCGCGTCCTGATTGTAAATAATTAGAATTGTTTGAACTAAACACCTCTAAAGTTACAAATATTACTCTTAAGTATTTCCCTAAAAAACGTTAAAAACTGATAGTGTCTCTTACGTTATTGTGAGGTAGTATACATAGATATATATCTATAGCAATGTACTTTTTATTACATGTTTTACACAGAACGATTCTCGAACTAATAATGTATTGTTACATTTTCGTATTGTATATTTTCACATTGTTGTACACCTCTATATTTTCATGTTCTTTCGTCATTTAGTTATTATACAGACAGAATACTATCTAAACAATTTATTCCGCATTTAAAAACTCTGCATGGCTTATTCTTTGAAATCATAAGAAGAAAAAAAGAACGATGTTTTAAAATTTATTTTTAGGGTGTTTGTTAGCTTTGATGAATTTTTATTTTAAATTTGTATTTTTCTGTGCGTTTTTAAAAGTTGTTTCATGAAAAAAAATCTTTAATGATCGTTACATTGCAAAATAAATGATTAGATTAAAGAATAATATAACAAATAAGGAATACTTCGTTATCGTATGTCAATTTCTATTCTGAAATGTAATAGAAGCAATGCTGTTGGCAATATCTGTTTCGAAATAATTTGTTACGCATGTTTTGTTGATTTAATGAGATTATTAAAGTGTTGAGAAAGTTTAATCATCGCCAAAATGCAGTTAACTAAACACGTAAAATTTGAGTCATAAATTTTAATGTTAAACTTATGATATAAAAGAGAATATTTCTCTTGTGTTATACAAACATTAGTTTTTTCACCAAATCTAAGACTTCCTCTGCTATCAGGATGATGATTTTGTGGGTCGCGGGTATGCTTTTGGTCACACTTTGTGCCGCTCAGAGCAATATATTTCCCCAGGCTACAGTGGGTGGCGGCGCATTTATCCAACTACCACGAGTACCATCCTCTGGAGCTTCTGTTAGCTCGTCGGCTGGACCGTCTGGAGCTAGTGCATCCGCTCAAGTCAACACGCCTGCACCATACCCTGCTTGCCTAGCATCCAATCCAGATGACGCCGTCAGAAGTTCATCTCCATTTGCCTATGCCCTGCTTGAAGGCTCTTTCACAAATCCATCTTTGAGAGGATTCTACAACACTTCATTTGACACGTCTTTAATCTACGGCGCCATCTACGATGAAGTTAAAGAAAATTTGTCTAAGGATAGAAGTCGCAGGCTAGCAGGAGCTCTTTCCTTCATTTTCCAAGCAGGACTTCCTAGAATCACACCCATACAAAATGCTGTCTCCATCACAAATGCAATCAGTGAAATTCAAGGGGAAGAAGCTATCGTCATAACCGATGACAAGGAAGAATACATCGAGCCATACTTGACAAACGTCAGTAAAGGAGTATCGGCCGCAGATGGAAGTTCACAATCTCAAGCCCGTGCTGTAATTAGTGGTCTGTTCGGATATTTGGACTCCATCAATGCTCTATCTTACTCCAAGCTACTGGAATTTATATCCATCTTAGCCGGTGAACATCGCTTGGCTGTATATTCCACTTGCAAACCATCAAGTTTTGAAGCTATACCCAAACCTTAATCGAATGAAATACTTATTTATTGATAAAAGTTTTTTTTAGAATAATTGATAATTTCAAAATTATTTTTCTTCTTTCCAAATTTGTCTTAAAGATATTTTCTTGAATTCTTCTAAATTTTAAATTCTTCTTGAATTCTTCTAAATTTTAGATTAGTTTATTACAAAGGGATTATTTAAAAAAAGTTAAACTAAAAATAGAGATATGCTTTTAGAGTTTAATAATTTTTTGAAACAAATTCTGATGTTCCTAAAATTTGTTACTACATGTTATGATTCAAGATTTTTGAACGGTTGAAGAAAAGAACATCAGAAATTTCATTGTGAAAATGTATTTCTAATTGTTTAAAAGAATAATAAAATAAAATTTCTTCGAAGGTTTGCTATTTTCTTTTGTCCTTCAATTGCATGCCTAAAAGGATTATATACTAAATAATATGGATTCATACGATAATCGGTTATAAGTGTGCAGTCAGTAAAACTCATTTTTCGACTTAAGTTTTGTCTTAAACAGCAGAATTAATAAAGAAATTCATGGAATACACGGATTTTCATAACCTAAATGTCACTGTAATTCTAAATATGGTTGTTTCGAATATAAATGAATGTTCCTCTGTAAAATAGGCCGAGTTCGGTTACCCGGCACTGGTTCATGACAATAAAAAAACTGGTTCCCGGTACAGGGGTGTGAAACTCCTTTGCCGAGTGCTGGTGATAACGGGGTAACGAAAATTTAGCTGGATAGGCCGGGGTATATTCTAAAGCAGATCGCTTACTGCAACTCCTTTTTGGAAGTTTGCACATTTCCATCATCTACTTCACAACAAGTTTGCACATTTCCAACATCACATTTCCAACATAGTCAAAGTTTGCACATCTTTAACTTTATAACTTTCATATTTAACTTTTTCTTCCTTTTTTTCCGCTGCTATGGGAAATGTGGTCTAGCATTTACTCCACACTTATAATTTTTCCAAACACTTATAATTTAAGGTGTGAAATATGGGCTATAGCAAATGATAAACTAGCATTTAGCAATTTTCGCCACGTTCCTAGAATCAGACATAAAGAAAACAATAGAAATTTATTTTAGAAATATAAATATTTAATAATTTTTTCCAAAGTAACAGGTAACAATGATGGCATTTTTCGGGATTTGTTTGATATATAACGTTGCAATAACAGCTCTTAGAATAGGCACTTAATACATTTCTGCAGCATATAAAACGAGACGGTTTAGAGTTTTTATTTTGCTTATGTCAGTTTTTTCCATTTGTTTTTAAACTAGCCCTCTCCTCTGAAATTCAACTTTACGTTGTATTTTATATTGCTGCACAAGAAATATAAGATTTAGAAGCTTGAATGCAAGAAAGAATGTGTAAAATTTTAAAGAGAATCCAGTTGAATTAAAATTTGATAATTAATTCGGAGCCTGATTAACTTGTTTAACTATTAACTGTTAAACGCATTGTAAAAAACCATGTTGACAGCTCTGTAGTCCACAGATGTGCAACTAACACTGTTTAAATTTGCCGTGTTCAAAGAACCATTCTTTTATGAACTCAACTCGATTTTTTTTTCGCAACTCTTATTTGCTTGAGAGTTATTAAAATGTTAAAGGTTTTTTCTCGTAGTTTTCCTTAAAATAATGACTTTACATCTTATTTTGTAAGAAATTTACTATTCTCCCTCGAGATCTTTATTTTATAAGATCACACTTAATTTGATGTTTGCCATAAAAATAAAGAAGTGCTCTCACTTTCAGATTACGATTGTGTAACACCAGATATACAGCTGAAATTTAAAGAAATTATTTAAAGATTTGAGGGTAAGTTGAAATGGACTATGTCAACCTTCATCTATCAAAGGTACCTTACGATGGAATCAAGTTAACATGTCTTATATGCTAGTGAATTGGTATTTAATATTTGTAGTGGTAGTTACGTCACACTACTCCCCTTTCAGAATTTTATCTGTGATAGAATTCGATAAACGAATACCACTAGTTGATTCATGCTGTTTATTTATTTATATTAATTTTGCCCATTATATATTTTTCTTCATTTTTTGTTCATAGCATTTCTCTCATTATTTCTTTTTTTTCTTCCTTCATTTTTGTTAACATCATTTCGCTCCTTATTTTTTTCTTTTTCTTTTTTTCAATTTTCAATGTTGTTTATTGACCGGGAAACTTTATTTATTTCTCGGGATTTTTTTTTTTTTTGAGCAGTAAATTTTTTAAAAAGTAAATCAACTGTTTAATGTGAACCATCCATCGATGTTGACGAGTTTATATCACATCCAGGGATCACCATTTTGGAATAATTAGTTTATTATCCATATTAGATCGTCCAAAGGTTCAATCAAATGAGCATTTTACTCTTAAAAAGAAAATATTACATTGTACAACTTAATAAAATTACAGAGGAATTATTCATTTCAAACTTTTTTTAACAAAAGAAGCAATTACTGACGAAGGTGTAATATTAAAAACTTCAGGTTGATAAATGAAGATCTCTACTTGTGAAAACAATTTAAAGATATTCATTATACTTTATATAATATCTTTATATAATAGTGAGGTTAAAAATTTCATAAACTTGGTGAACTGTATACCACCTCATATTTGGGAATTTCTTACCTTCGTAAATATTAAAAAAACAGCTTTAGGTTGAGCCTGAAGTGTAAAATGTCGCATCTTAGGTTAATAATTAATACTTCTAAAAGTACAAAAATATGTAATTGTGGTTACGAAATAATAACCTAAGGTAGAACATGGAACACCTCGCGTTAATAAAAAATAACCTTTCCAAGTGTCAAAAAATACACTTGATGTTGATTTATAATAACCAGAAGTGTAAAATGGCACACCTTAGGTAGATAAATAAATACTCTACAAGCATAAAAATCTATACTTGAGGTTGAAAACTAATTGACTTACAGTACCGCTCAAAAGTTTCAGTACACCTAGAAACTTATAAAAAAAATGGCAAAATTCAAAGTGTCATAACTTCTTTAAATCAAAAATGCTTCTGCTTTAGCTCATTTTGAAGCTTAAAATCTCTACTTTTATGTATTCAATAATGTTTTTAAATAATATATTTTGCAACTATGTACAATTACACTCTAAACAATCATAGAAAAATGTATTAATTTTTTGTGAAGTTTGACGCGATGTACGGGCACAAAGGGGTTAGATATTGTTAATTTTTATTATACCATTGAAAAATTTGGACTTTTAGCTTTCATTTAAAAGAAAAAATTCCAAAAAAAAACATGTTTTTTGACGAAGTTATCGTGAAATAAAAAAAAAGTTTTTTTTTCAGAATTTAATGATTTTTCAGCAATTATAATGAATTTTAGTGTAATTATAATATGATATGAAAATTTTTTAATTAAAATAAATTAAAATTTAATATTTCTCGATAATATTATTTCATAATTTATTATAACAATTTTAACT